TTTGAAAAGACTACAATATGATATATATGCAAGTACATATATAGTATATATTAGTAATTCAAGATTGAATTATTTAAAGCAATGAAGATCCAGCTTCGTAATAGGTATTTTAAATTTCTAGTATTGATTGTATTCCTATAAATATATTAGGTTGATCAGAAAGTTCGTGCCGTTTTTTTTAGCTCAAAATTATACACAGAATATATTTGTTGTTATTATTATACTATTTAATAGAGCAAAGTTTTAGCTTTAAAAATTGATTTTTTAAATTGAGGTACAATAATTTTTAATGAAGTTATGTGCAATCAAAGTCAAAATGCTTCTTTTATTTAATTCGCGATAACTCAGTAACAAAAAATCTTAGGAATATATTTTTAAAAAACGATTTCATAGGGAAAACTAAGCTTTCACTTGGATGGAAAGCCGAAAATTTCGCAAATTTTTGGGGGCAAATGATAGACCTAAAATTAGAAGAAAATTTTCCATCTTTTTCAGCTCGTAGTTTTCTGTATGTAAAAATTACTAAACACATAAAAACTCAAAAACATAGTAATCTTTCGAAAGTAGAGATTTCAAGTTTCAAAATCGTTTTTTTAAATTTAAATTTCGTTTATTTTTAACGAAGATATTGTAAATATAATTTTGTGCTAAAAAAACGACACGAATTTTTTGACTAACCTAATATTTAGAAAAAATTTGACAAAAAATCTGAATTTGTTCGATTATTTAATGTAATTTCTGAAAAATTTCGAGAAAATTTTAAAAAAAGTTTTTACCAAGGGGTTTCTTAATATCTTTTTCTACTTCTAAGAACTAGCTCTTTTTCTAGGAATCCAAGAAGAATGAAAAGTCAAAATAATGTCAATTTGTCGTCACATCGACCGATTATTGATCAAATTTATGTTATTTTTTGCCATTTAGTCAATATGACATTATTTTGACTTTGTTGTTCTCCTTAGGAATTGACTTTTTCTAAGAATTAGAAAAAGATAAAAAGTCTTAAAGTTAATCAAGATTAAAGTTAATCTATATTGATAGAAGTAGACATATTAAAATTAATCTTAAATCTTATACATACGTACATACATATATTGATAGAAATGAACAATAGAGAAAAATAATTTTAATAAAAATGCTGCCAATATTCAGGAAATTGCGATTTTATCGCATTGTACGTTCAAATACAATAATGAATTGCGACTTCGACCGCCTCTAGCCTCTGGCTTTGGTCATTTGCATGCTATATACGCATTCTTCGCTCGCTAGACACGCTCTTGTTACTGACAAACTGTTTCGTGCTGTTTTTCTTATTGAATTTATAAAGAGAAAACTGTTGGCTTATTTTTTTATAAATTGTACACATAACAGGGAAGTTAATTAAAAGTATGCTTATTCTTACTATTCCTCCATGCCGCATATATGTATAAAAGTTCTTATGTAAGTATTATACAGGGTGTCCCGTAATTATTAACGCAACGCTTATGGGCTGGTAGAGTGGACTAAACTAAATCAAAAAGTCCTTTATCATTGTACAATTTTCGCAATAATTAACGGTCGGTGCAGGTGGATACGATCTCATTCGGCAATCTTTAAAAATTAATATCTCACTAACTATTGCAAAAATTGCAAAATGGTACAGGATTTTTCGTTGTCAGTTTAATCCACTCCTGGCTGCCCACAAACGTTGTATCAATAATTACGACACGGTATAAAATTATTCTATAGTTCCTCGTATTAAAATTTAAAGAATTAAAATTTCGAGAACAAGAGTGACAGAACGAACAATCGATGTTATGTCGATATAGAAAATGTAACGGTCTAAATTTTTTATTATAAATATAATAATCAATTAAATCACAATTGGTGAGAAATGGAATCAATTTAAACAATAATATTAATATAATTGAATAAAATACATAAAATTATAATTAAAATTAATCGAAGGAAGATATTGGTGGAATAAAAATCATATAAAGGAACTGATATTGTGCTCGTAAAAAAATATAATTTGCGTAATCGGATATAAAGGATGCAACACATCATGTGCCTTTGATATAGCATGAGCATAAGGAAAATTGGATTATCAACTTTACAGTTTATTCTTGGACGGTATCTGTTTGATATTTTTGCACAATATATTAACAATTGTTATTTTGTCAACTTGATAAAGAATACACAAAATATTAATATATCGTGATAATATTAGGACATTCTGGAGTCCTGCCCAGGTCAAAGTCGATTGCAACAAAAAAAAATATATATATATATATATATTTATTTATATACTCTTTTATGTATAATAATTTGTGCGGAGGATAGATCAGTATTAATAATTTTCTTCCTTTAGTTCTTATGAAACGTGTATGTACAACGTGCTTGCATTGATCTCTCATCCTCTCTCTTTATCGAGGTATAAAATTACAATCCTTGTATTATACATAGATTGATTAACTTGCGAGTGCGTTCCGTCTTCGGAATTTGTATGTGTTTAAATTATCTAATATTTACAGAATTATTTAAAAAAAGTCATTATTTTGAAATTATATTACAAGATGAAAAAATCTAAAAATGTAACAAATTAATTTTTCTCATAAGTCTTGGAAATTGCATTTTTGAACGAATTATTACAATACAAGGATATTATATTGCAATTATAGTTTGCGGAAGAAGAATTACGCCTACTGACTCTGCAAAAAATGTGTGCATTAAAAGGAATTAACCGACGTTCGATTTACATTAATCATCTGATTAAGAGTTGAATTTCATTGTTATTAGCAATTCCACTAAGCAAAAAACATTTCAGTAACGTTTTGAAACGTTGCTGCAACGTTACTGAAATATTTTGGAATGTTTCTTGTTTACTGGGATTAGCTTAAATATCTTTCAATCCTTTTTCAACAAGAGATCAGTAATTATTTAATTATTTCATTTATAATCAAAAATTAGAAAAATATTTAATATTGTAAACTGCAGATAGGATAAGGTAGGGTTTGTCGTCCACAGGATTATTCCTACCAGCGATAATATAATGTTTTAAAATAGCGCATATTTAACATTTGAAGGTTATATGTTTGCGTTTTTAAGAAGCAGTAGTATTTGAGTCGGTTTGAGTAACGTAAGCACGCGTCACAGCAAAGGGAAATTTTTCGCTACCATGATTGAAGTTTTTGTGATAATTGAAGGTATAAAATATATTGTCATTTTCATGGTCAATTTCAAAAGAAACCTTTATATTATTTAAGCTATAATTTTTTATATACGAATGAATTATTTTCTTACACTATTCGTTTTTTTGAAGATGCTCCTTAATGAACGGAATAACTCCACTGATTTCGATACACGTAAATTTTGCATTAGTTTAGATGTTTGTTTTTCTCCGTTACATGTTATTTATATTTACAAAGTTATATTATGTTGAATAATAAATTATAGTTACGTTTGAAATGTAATTCGGTATGTGAGACACTTTTTTAAAAATCTTCATATCACTTTAAAGTTGAAATTGACAAAATAATCCCGCCCTATCCTATATAATAAAATATACAGAGATTATTTTAATTTCGATTGTTTTTTGCCATTATTATTAACGAGAGTTATACTATGAAACGCAAAATAGTCTAACTGTTAACGAATAGTAGAAAGAATAAAAGACAGAGAGAGCTAAAAAAGATACACAAAATTATTGAAATAGTTTACTCTGATTTCGAAGCTTAGGAAGTTATCTTATAAAATGAATTGTCGTCGATTTCTTTTAATTCAGCAATCTTTTGCAGGAAGATACGACTTCATATAATCTAGTAAAATGTACAATGATGTTGGCTGGGCGAATATTTCAAAAGTATAATGTTCGCCGCGCAAGAGAAGTTTCTTTCTGTCGTAAAATCGATGTGCTCTGTAATAATATTCACAAAAATAACATTAATAACGCTCATACATGAAACATCTGTCTCCTCGAGCCTGCACGCCTTTATTCACCGTAACAAGGAAAAGGCCATTTTCTTAACATAAAAAAACTATATAACGCCACGTCTTACAAAAATACTTCGCACAAGAATACAGCTTTTTGAACGGACGTACGTGCATCATTAACGCTCAACTACTGTAGTGTAATTAGAAGGATCATTTTCAACTCCGGGAATATTATCCATTGAGAACTTTCATTAGTCATTGGCTGTTATAGGCTGGGTTCGGGGAGACGTTATTAGCACTATTTGTGTCATTCTATCTTTATTATCCGTTAAACGTGAAACAAGGATAGTATGACACAAATAGCGTTGATAGCGCGCTCCCCGAACGCAGCCATAGAGATATTATTGGACCTCACTCCCCCTCTTTCTCTTCCCCCCCCTCTCTCACCCTCTCTCATTGCTTTATTTTATAATACATAAAAGAAAGAACATAGCGGGAATTGAATTAAATTAAATATCAAGATATTGGTCAATATCTTTGAGCTTTGTATCTCTATTTTTCTCAAAATCAAATTTGATCCTGCTATATTGTAGTTGAGAATAAATTTCACGTGTACGATAAGTGCTCAAACATGCTTAATTTACTAAGGATCGAAATTTTATAAGTTTTATTTTGTCTCCAAATGTTTTATGTGGATACGAATTTTTTAATAAAATACCCAGACCGCACACACTATTTATAAAATATTTACAAAATATTTATAAATATTTATAAGATTTATTTTAAATATTTTGTAAATATTTTTGTGGTCTTGGATTGCACAGATTATAAACATTTATTATAAATATTATGAAATATTTATTGTAAATGTTATAGTAAATGCTATGAAAATACTTAATGAGATATTATAATTCAAGTAAAAAATACTTATTAGAAATATTTATTTATATTTACCATAAGTATTACATGAAATATTTAGTCTATATTTTAATAATATTTCAAATAAAATTTTATATAAAATATGTATGTAATATTTATGCAACATTTAAAAAATTGAATATTAATAAATATTTATCATAAATATTCTGTGCTGTCTGGGTAATAATACATATTTCTTCTGCAGTGTAATTTTATCTTATTATTATAATACAAATTGTAAAGATTGTAAAATGTTTAAAAAATGTACAGAGATATGGCAAGTGTTTAAAAGGATTATTTATGGATTGAGTGTACCAATTCGAGCACTACGCACACATGCACGCATACACACACATATACATACACATCCTAGCTATTGGAAGTGTCCTGCCGTTATCGTTACACTTCAAATAGCAACCTTGAGAAAAAATGTGTTGCGTCTTTTATGGTACATGGATAACATGAACATTATACTTTGTTGGCAATTATATTTACAAGACTTAAAAATCACACACCTAGTAAAAAATGACACGATTGTGCCTATTGCAATTCGCTTTCGTCCTATTCACCCTTGTGAAATCGATACCATCGATTTATCTCGCGACCGTTGTCATCTGGCGGCCATACTATACTCATCGAAATTTCAAGATCCTAAAGCCAGTTCACAATTCCTGGCTGGAAGGATCTAGAGATTTATTATGAGAATCTGTGATCAGAAATTCTCATAAGTCTGAGAAGGCAAAAAAATAAGAACCTAAACATGTCGAAGTTCTTAGATGCAAGAATATGCAAAGTTGACTTATTACTACTAAATAAAAATATTCTTTTGTCAAAAATATTCAGGGGCGACATCCAAAATTTTCTTCCATTCAATGTTAAAAAAAAAGAAAAAGAATATAAAATAAAAAGATTTCCAAATCTAAATATCTAATTAAGAAATTTATCTGCAGAATTTATCGTTGAGAGGTTTTATTAACCCGTTTATCCAAAAAAGACTCTTATGTCCTCTATAACAATTATAATCCTGATATATTCTTCTTTTCAAAAATCCAAAGATCTCGATAATCTCATATCCGCGGATATCACTGGATAAGACAAAACCTTGAATTAATCGCCACATATACTAAAAACATCTCGGTGAATAGCTTAATAAATAACGTACACGAGCAATTGCGTAGTGATCCGCACTGTGTTTACGTAAAACTGGTAAATTAATTTATGTTTGTGTCCTTTCATATATTCTTTGCAGACTCGTGAAACATCTCCACCCTGCATTTCAAGTTCGAGGCACAATAGATCTGAAGGAATTCCTAGATAGAAATTATAATCCTAGCACTCGGACTTGTCCTCTTCAACCAGTTGTTGAGTATCCTTCCCCGAATCGATAGGCGTCGGGTCTAGTTCTCTTCTCTTCAAATGCAACTGCGGGGGCTCTTTGTGCTGTATACTGGAAGGCTTCATTTCCGCCGGTACTTCAAACAAACTACCGGTGCCGGTGCCATTCGTGGCACCGCTCTCCATATTCACCGCATCGTACATTGGGTTACTGAAGTCTCGGTTTTTATTAGTAACGTCGTTCAAATTGTATTCCACATCAAGAGGTTCCTTTAAACATGACATATGATAATAAGTAGGACAGCCATAGACACAGTAATAGAAAAATTTACATATATAATTTATTGCACTGGTACATGATTTATCTAATTGTAAGATGATACGTTAAAATCGACGTGAGTGAATAACTTACCATTCTTTCATGAGCTTCTGCACCAAATTCTACATTACTACCTTGGCGGAAGGAAACACTCTGAGCTCCTGTAAGACTACCAAGGCCACCAGGTTTGCCACTATAAACAGTAATTAAGTTCAGTAAAGGAGGTTTATTTTGTAGTATTGTAAAATTTTGTAATTATCTTGCTTACAATGGTCGCTTCTTGAGAACCATGAAGATCGCGGCAGCAGCAAACAACACCAGCAGGCATATGACTATGGGAATAACTATAGCAGCGGTAGATCCGCCTGCTCGAGCGGCAATCGCCGCCATTTCACAGAATTCGCCATGAAATTCTTCGCGACAGTTACACGCTAGCTTATCATCCAGTTCTTGACATCGTCCGCCGTTTTGACAGCGACATATCCTGGGCGCCGGCAGAGGCCTCTCATTTGTGGCGTCGCAATGCCTCTCGTTATCGTTGCCCCTCATCAAAAGTTGGAAAGGGCCAACGTTGTCTGAACAGAGACAGCGGTGGCCACCAGGAATTGTTACACATAGATGAGTGCACTGATCGTTATGACATGGATCTCTCAGACTGGTGTTGTATCTCTGCTGATGATAGACTCTGACTCCTCCAGGTCTAGGGAGATTCTTGACAATGATGTGCGGAACTCCTCTGCCAAATTTATCCTGTCGGATAAGTTCACCTGTTTGTTTAGTAGTCCAATAAAGGTTGTTTTCGAAAACATCTAGTGCTATTGGATTCTTGAGTAATCTGCCTTTCAAAACGATTCTTCTGTTGGTACCAGCCAAACTGATCGCTTCGATGGTGTCTAATTTGCTATCGGACCAGTAAAGTGTATGCTCCATGGCATAGTCAATGGTGAGCGATGAAGGACTAGCAATCCGTTCTGTCACGAGTGATTTGCGTCTAGCTCCGTCCATCCAGGCTATCTCAATTTTTGGTTGATTACCCGAATCGGCCCACACAACTTCCCCTCGCTCGGGATCTACGACCACTGCTGTTGGTTGTTCGAGATTCGTTGTAATTAAGCTACGTCGATATCTGCCATCCGATTTAGCTACCATAATTTGGCCACGAGGAGTAGTCCCCGATTGATCGATTTCGCTCCAGTACAAATTACCGGAGATCCAATCCACTGCTAAACTTGTTGGCCTGGAGTCAGCTATAAAAATTAATATTATTAGTGAAATATACCGCGTAAAGATTATTTTATAAATAAATAAAAAATATTTATGTGATTGTAAGAAACGTTTAAAGACTATTCCACATCAATTCAAGAATTTAGAGATTTGAAATTTCAATGACTTAAAACTTAATATCGACAAAGTTAAAAAATCTAAATCTCGGATAAAAATTAAAGGATTAAAATCATTAAAAAATTAAGAACATTTTTTCAATAAAAAAACAATTAAATAGTATGTACTTTTCGTATTAAGGTCCTGCGCGTGTCCAATCTTCGCTTCGCCTTCTTTGGCGTTCACCATGTAGGACCGTTTAATAGTGTTGTCATACGAATCAATCCAGAAAACATATTCTGTCCTGGGATCAAAATCAATGGCTTGCACTCTCTTCTCACTGTCTATCACGTCCATCTCTTCCCTAGTGCGCAGATCGTACGCTCGTAGTTCGGGCCCGTTGGCAAACAGCACGACAACATTATCACCTTCAGCGCGGCATACACCACTGTGTCTATCCGACAATTGGAAACCATGCCGGCAAGAGCAGGTATATGTGCCATTCAAGTTTGTGCAGATGTGAGAACATTGATGGTTACCGGTTTGGCACTCGTCGACGTCCACACAGTGTTTCCGATTATCCTGCGAGATTATGTAACCGGGATAGCAGGCACAGATATAGCCGCCGTCACTGAGGTTGTGGCATACGTGTGCGCAACCGCCGCGATCATTGTCCGAACAGTGATGACTGTGATCTGAAAACACAATATAGGTATCTGATAATTTCCGACTATAGAACGGGTGGAGCGAAGAACATGAGAACAGGATTGGGATGTAATTTTTACTCCTTTTTCGACAATAATTACTTTTTTCTATATGTAACGGTAAGGTCGTTACATTTTTATAGTAATGGTAACGAATTCAGCCATTACTTTTATCGTTACAATGATCTCTTATTATTAGCTTTATAACTATTCAATAGATCATATTATTTTCAATTAACTAGAAAAATTTTATAACAGAAATTTAAATATGAAAAAATATTTTATATTTCATTTCTTAGGCTGTATTCCAATAATTACTGCCAATAATGAAAATTTGTAGTATGTAACGTGAATTATAAATTTTTTATTTTAGTGAATATTGGAATGCCCTCTTAATAACAACGTTAATGATTAAAAATAATATTTAATAAAAATTTTTAATAAAATCTGCATTTGTAAATTACAGTTTAATTTCCTAAATATAAATATATATTAAAAAATAATAATATTAATATAAAGAATTATATCGAAGATTTTTTTGTTAAATATAAGTCTAATATAAAGAAAACGTTGTTATATAGAGACTGCTTAGAATTATAAGTTTTAATATTGATTTTACAATTAATATTGATTACTAACTAATGTAATTTTTAAATCCAACATCTTACTTTAACATTATAAAAAAGTAACTAATCCTTACTGTCTATTGTAAGTAACAGTAACGCGTTACTTTTTGAAATTAGTAACGAGTAACGCGATAACGAGTTACATTTTACAAAAAGTAACGGTAACAGTTACGTGTTATTTTTGTGAAATAACATTCCCAATCCTGGATGAGAATAAAACTTACGACATCCCAACTCGTCCGATAGATCCCCGCAATCGTCCGCGAGATCGCAGAGTTTCTGATGGTCGATACATTTCTTGTTCGCGCAGGTATATTCCGTGATCGGATCACACGGACGAGTTTGTTTCACACACATTGTCATGTTGTTCTCGTCGGAACCATCGCCGCAGTTGTCGATCCCGTCGCATAGCTGATATCTGGCAATACACTTATGGTTGGCACATTGGAACCGTCTGTGTGTATCACACTGGAAGTTTGCTACGTAAAGACACAACAATATTATGTTACTCTCATTGTAAAACAACCAAGCGATATCACCCAAAAACATTCTCATGATATCTCTGGTGAAAAATTTGCTCAGAATTTTTCATATAATTTTTCAGAATTTTTGTATAATTTCTGTATAATTTTATAACTTTCTCACATTTTTATACGAATTTTGGAACACTTTTCAAAATAATAAATATTCAGAAAGTCTACATCTTTTCTCATATTTTTTCATATATGTTAATGAAATATCCTTAGATCTCTAAGATTTTTTTGTTCTAAGTATAATTTCTGATGCAATGTAGTATAAAATCTAAAAAAGTTAAAAATATTTTTTTTGAAAATTATGGGATGAGAAATCTCAGAATATTTCAGAAGTCACATATATGAAAAATTTTAAGAGAAAATGTGAACTTTTCGAATATTTCTGAGTATTTCTGAAAAATGTTCTGATTCCTATAAAAGTAATGAAAAAAATCTTCACTAAAGATCACATGATATTTTTGAGAATTTATCATATTCGACTGAAATTTATAAAGATTTCTTAAAAATACCTTAAATTTTTACAATTTTTATGAGTTTTCTTCAAAGAGAAATTATAGAACGAGAAATCTTAGAATATTTCAGAATTTACATAGGTATATGTAGGTATAAAGGATTATAGAATAGGGTGACCATATGTCACGTTTTTAACTGAATTGTCCAGTTTTTTCGAATTGATATGTAAACAAAGAATCTAGAAAAATGCGATGTTTGAATTCTTTATCTCTGATTGGTTGTGTTTTGGAACTATTGATTTAGACCGTTTAGAGAGCCTCTTATAGCGTATTTGATTTACTGACTCGACCCGACTCCGAGTCAACGGTCTGTTCTTTTTAGCTGCAGTTCTTGCACAGTTTAGCTCTTCTTTTGCAGCTAAACAGGACAGATCATTGACTCGGAGTTAGGTCGAGTCAGTAAATCGAATACGATAATTAGAAAGAGCATTTCACAATTTGCTTTTAAAAAATTTTAGGCTTCTTAGGCAAATGTCAGACAAATACGATGCCAAAATGCCCCTCAAACAATATAAAGTAGAGAAAGATCTAGAAATCTATTACAACCGTCGTGCTCTCATCACAACATTTAGCACGTATTATTGATTATGACATTACTTAAATATATATCTTTTACTATTTGTTTATTTGTCTAATATATAGTCTATTATAATAATAATTTATATTAATATATATTATTTATTATATCGCAATAAATGAAAATATTTGGCGTTGTAGAAAATCCCCTTATAAAATCGTTTGACTCTTCCTGATTCCCATATCAAAAATCGATTAATCGATAAGCAGTTTTACAATTCTCACTTCACTCGTATCCCGTTTTTTTTTTTTCGAAAATCTGGTCACCTTAGGATCCACGCACAAAGATGATTGGAACTGTTTCCGATTGAATCGTAATCGTAAGTCGTTGTCGTAGGGCAACGCACAATGATTTTACGTATGTCGTTTACGTAAAATCATTGTGCGTTGACCTACAACAACGACTTACGATTACGATTCAATCAGAAACAGTTCCGACCATCTTTGTGCGCGGATCCTTATTCTAGAAAAGATGTGCACTTTCACAGTATTTCTGAAAAGTGTTCCAATTCGTTTCAAAAAGAGAAATTTTTTAAAGATTAAAAAAATATACAAAAATTTTGAAAAATTATAAAATTTATATAAAAGTTCTGAAAAAGTTGCATGAAAAATATTGTCACCAGGGTGCGATAATAAACTTACTACACATGGTAGCATTTTCATCGGAATTGTCACCGCAGTCGTCGGTGCCATCGCAGATGTCATTCAACGAGACGCAAAGATTGTTGTTACATTGGAATCGCGATTGCGGGCAATATCTTCCTCCGGGATATCTCGGTGTGCAGTTGATCTCATCGCTCATATCGCGACAGTCTCGCGCTCCGTCACAACGAAGATATGATGCGATGCAATGACCGCTGGCACATCGGAAACTATCATGCTGCGCAAATTTACATTAAAATTGTTATATATCTTAATAATCCCTGATATACAAAATTTTAATTAAATATAGTTAACAAAATGAGAAAAATGTACTTTTTCATACAAAAATGTAAAACTCTGAAACAAAAACGTTTAAAGGAAAAATATGTTTCAATATCTTAAAGTTGACATTTCAAACTACAAAAAAGAAATAGTTAAAGTGTCGGCTGTCCAAAAAATTTAGTTATTTAGTAACCTAAAAATGGTTTTTTAATATGATGGCTATAAATTGAAGATATATTGCATTTATATTTTAAGCAATATATTTTATTATTGCTATTGTATTAAAAAAATTTATAATTTATTAAGAAATTGTTTTTTATAACTTTACAGACAACAATAATACCTATACCTATAATATTACAGACAACATTTAACATAAGGATGCCAAAAACCAATGTTGTTCTAGCATTAATTTCTTTTTTTAATAATTCGCGAATTATTTCCGCAATACAAACGAGAATTAGTTGAAAATAAAAAAAAAATAAAAATTTTGTAATTATAAAAAATGTACACTCTGTACACACAATGGGTCATTTGTGACCCAGAGGTGAACTTCGGAGTTATTATAGTCAAAAGATACGCATGAATTGAGGCCGGCAAAGCACAAAACTTGTTCTTTAGATGTTAAAGTTTTTTTAGGAATAGAAAAGAGACAGATATTTGACCAGGTGCTCTTAGTATTTCAAAGAAAAGAAATGCGCAGGACACGAATGACTCAAAGGAGTCAAAGGTGTGTATTAAAGGTTAATTATAAAAAAAATAACCTTATTATTTTAAAGTAATTTTATAATTTAGTCTAAATGCATATTCTAACGATGCATTTAAATTAAATTAGGATTAAGGGGTCTAACCACCCTAAAACTTTGAAAAAATCGAAAATATTTTTTGCATTTTTAAAAGTTTGAATCTTTAAGAATATTTTAAGCCAAGACTTAAGATAAGGCAAAGCCATTTTATTATATAAAAAGATCGTTTCGAATCTTTTACGTTTTTTTATGAAACCGTGTTTTTCAAGACGAGTGTAAACTTTTCTTCGAAACTAACAATCCGATTAACTTCAATTTTGGGAGGGATATTCTTAAGAAGATTATTGATCTCAATCTATCTATTTACGTACTTTGCACACCCATTGATGACATTGCTCCTCGTCGCTATTGTCACCACAATCGTCTTCGTTGTCGCATCTCCATCTGGACGCAATGCACTTGCCATTTTTGCATTTGAACTCGGACTCGGAACATTGGCGGTACTTATCTTTGCACATCGCGTCTGTCTCATCGCTACCATCCCCGCAATCGTCAGCGAAGTCGCACAGCCACTGTTTCGGTACGCACCGGTTATTGGCGCACTTGAAGTCCATTGTGGGATCGCATTTCGGACAGTTTTCCGGACGCTCGTCAGAACCATCGCGGCAATCGTCTTTGCCATCGCAGAATAGCCATTTCGGAATGCATCGGTAATTTGCATGTCCTGGGCACCGTTGCCACCCGGTCGTGCAGTTTCTTTGCCGACACATGTATGCCGGCTCATCGCTATCATCGCCGCAATCATTGTCAGAGTCACACATCCACAGCTTGGGAATGCATTTGCCGTTCTTGCAACTGAACTCAGTGCTCGGATCACAGACACGGTTGTCTAAATAGTAATATAAATTACACAAATTGAAGTAAATAAAAGCAGAAATATTTATCTAAATTCGTGTTTTACATAAAATGCAAAACTATAGAGAAATTATAATATATAGAGGAAAACCCCCTATTATGAGATAGGCGCCTAATACGAGATAGCGATATTTCCACCAAACTAATAAACGCTATTTATTGGTTCCACCATGAATTTATTGCTCTTGGATTGAAAACTGTGTTTAGTAGAAAATTCATTATTAGATCATGCCTGTAGTCATCGTAAAAAAAGATTTTAGAACTTGGATATCTTCAAGTTTCATTAAGATGAGCCTTTAAAAATTGTTTATTATTTAATAAATAAATATTTGGCAATAAATTCTTCATGTAGTGATAGAGTAAGATCGTACTAATAGAAAAATACGGAACTACTTATTCTTAATTTTGTATATTAATCATTACTGCTGAGGATGGCTCAAATTGGAGTCGAAACGGTTTGTGAATTGATTGTAATCTAATATGTTAAAGTAATTACACAAATATAACTACGCTCTGTTTACCGCTGTTTGCCGCAACTCCTAACGGTTCTCTTTTTACTAATGTTTGCATTTCTTAAGACAAATCCATTTTTGTTATAATATTATTATTTCAATTTTATTGATTTTATCATTAATTACTTTTCAACTGAGATGTAACATGATGATACTTACGGCAAATGGAAGGATCTTCATCGCTACCATCTTTACAATCGGCATCCCCATCGCATTTCCAAGAATCGTGAACGCAACGGCCATTGGATTTACACTTAAACTCGAGTTCCCCGCATTCTAGAGCGCATTTAGCTTCGTCACTTTTGTCACCGCAGTCGTCAATTCCATCACAAATTGTTACGCTCGGCGTACAATTTTTGTTTGCGCATTGGAAGAAACTTGGCCGACAAATCCTTTGTGGGCAACTGAACGATGATTCGTCAGTACCGTCCTTGCAATCCTTTTCTCCGTCGCATCTACGGGTACAATATATTTTCATTGGAATTCTTCTGTTGTTTGACAACTTAATTTAAACATATCTTACCTCCAATACCAAGGAATGCACTTCTCGTCGGGTGGTCCACAACGATGCTGACCAGCGGTACAATTCGCTATGCATGTCTTGTCGTCCTTGTCCAGAATGAATTGATTCGGACACTTACATTTATAGGAGGTGACTCCAGGCTGACCATATCCTTCGAGCAAGTACGAGCTAGCGGGCGGTGCAATTAAACAAAGATGCGAGCAACCGCCGTTGTTATTCGCACAGGGATTGTTATAGGGTAATTGTCGAAGAGGATGATAGGCGTGAATGTCGTAGGGTCTATGGGTGGTATTGCGTATCACCTGTAGGTGCGCACCAGAGAACTTCTCCGCCCTACTAATCGCTTTTAGATTCCAATCAGTCCAATAAATGAAATCGTCAAACACAGTGATGGCGAACACATGTGGCACAGAAGCGCCCTTCAGAACGATCCGCCGATTGTGACCCTCGAGATCGGCGAAGGCGATGTAATCTAGATGGGCGTCTGCCCAGAAGATGCGATCGGTGAAATAATCGATTGTCAGGGCGTTTGGCCAGGCGATGTCGTCCTCCCATGTCAGAATTCGAGTGAAGTTGCTACCATCCATGCCCATCTTACCGATGTACGCCTGAAATTTAGTAATTTATGATTACGTCTTCGTAACTTTGTAATAATTTTGCCTACAATATAATTATCTATGAGGAAACTAGAATACTTAGTGTAAAATACTAAAATCCACCTGAAGATGCCAGGACGTAAAGTATAAGTATCCAGCACCGGGATGAACGGCAATCGCACGTGGGTCTGCTATTCCGCTTTGCAAAGTCTTTCTGTTTGTGCCATCAAGTTCAGCAACGTCCAAATGCTTTGCATGACGATCCAACCAATACAATTTCCGACCAACCCAATCGATAGCAATACCCTCGAGACCTAGACTGTCGTGACGGATAATTGGTTCCCTCTCACCGCCATTCACTGGTGCTCTATAAATAAAGAAAAAACATTTAAATGAAACAAGCTTTTTAGCAAAAAAGATATCCATCTTATCCTTAGTGAATATCTTTCTCTTTAGAATTCTTCACAATTCTATATAATTTTTTTACAATTCTATATACTTTTCAGAATATTTATATAAATTTTCGATTTTTTTTTAGAGTGTTTATATAATTTTATAACCTTCTATATATATATAAGAAAAATTTTAAGATTTTTATACGAATTGAAATATTTTTGTAGAAATGCTGAGAAAGTTTACATTTTTTCTGAAAATTTTTATGTATTGAATCTTGAAATATAATTTGATTTCTAAAATTTCTAAAATAATACTTATAAAATTTTAAAAAGTTTAGAATTTTTCAAATTTTTACAAAATTTTTTTAAATGTAAAGAAATTCTTAAAAGTATTATGAAACTATATGAGAATTTTTTTTCACCAGAGATAGCATTAAACAGGAAAAAACATGCAATGTACCTATATATTGTTTTCGCGGTAACGTCGCAGAAGTATAGCATTTGCTGGGCGTAATCCGCGTCAAGTGCAACAACGTTGATCAAATCCTGATGCATCAAATTGTATTGGGACGCATCGATCGACATGTTCCTAACATAATACTTATTCGTGAACACTATCCACGGCTGAACTTTGTCCCTTCGCTTGCATGTATGCTCGTCAGCCTCTCTTTCATACCAGCGCTCGTTGCACTTGCAATAGTAACCACCAGGCGTGTTCTCACATTGCTGGCTGCACACTTGAGGCGTTTCAATGCATTCGTCAATGTCATCACAGGCTTTGCCGTCGGCCAGCAGTTTATAGCCAGGGTTGCACTCGCAGTAGAAGCTAGTCGGTGTATCCACGCATTTCTGCCCGCACTGATTTATCTCGACTCGAGCGCATTCGTCCACATTGCAGTGCAGGGGTTCGTCACTTTCGTCCGTACAATCTGGTTCCTTGTTGCACACTAACTGCGAGTCAATGCAGTTACCGTTCGTGCACATAAAGTCCTTCGGATTCGGACACGTTGTATTCTTTCCCTTAGATGCTAAAAGAAAATTAACGTTATTGTTGTTACTGCATATCGCGCCAAAAAAAAAATTAGAAGAAGAAAGATTGAATAAATGTTTGGATATACTTAAAATTCAAAATGTCCACATTTTTTCTTGTGCAAGATCGGGGAATTAATAATATTTCCCATTTATTTTTAGTATTCCTCTTTCTTAGATTTTTTCTTAAAATTCTTTATATGATTTTTCAGAATTTACATATAATTTTCAGAATTTCTATATAATTTTTCAAAATGTACAAATTGAATCGAAACACTTTATAAAAGTGCTGAAAAATTTCTTTTCTAGAATTTTTTATAAAAACTTAGGACGTTCATACGGAATACAAGAGGTCCAGGTTCGACTCCCGGCCTAGGTATTTTTTGCAATATTTATTTACAGTTTGTCAGTACATTAACATCTTTCTGATAAGGTACCAGATTGAGCACCAAATTATTAAATTAATAAATGCTTATCAATTTGTGATATTACTGTAGTAGTTTAATTACGTTTATAAGTCTGAAAAATTATTTCGGAACGCAGTTCAAATGACTACATATTTAGTATATAAATTCACATAGAAATTATTTAAAAGCATCTAAGATCCAGCTTCGACCGTAATAGGCATTAAACTTTTACTTGTTGTGTATTCACATATATGGTCTTCATAAATCGTTTATTATTTTTTATATTAATCTAGCGACGTAGTAACTGTTAAACTATACTTACGACATCCTACTTCGTCCGAATGATCGCCGCAATCGTCTTGGCCGTCACAGCGGAACTGCTTGCGTATGCATTTGAAGTTCTGACAAGTAAACTCTTGGCTGTTGCAAGGCTTGTACTGGGTATTACAAAACTTGTCCTCATCGCTACCGTCGCCGCAATCATTATCATGATCGCACAACCAGCTACGATTCAGACACCGCCCATTTTTACACGTAAACTGATTGTCGGCGCAAGGAGTTGCAGCTGGACAGTGGTGCAAAGTTACATTCTCATCAGCCCCGTCAACACAGTCCGGATCTCCGTCGCATAGCCATTTTTTCGGGATACATTGGGCGCGATTCCACATCTTATTCGCGGTGCAAGTAAATTCGGTTTCTTCATCACATTTTCTATCATCTAATCAAAATAAATTAACTCCTCAAGATACAGTGGGAAGTAATTTGTAATTATAATAATGCGTAATTGAAATATTATAAATATCAAAGTTCTAAATGAACGACGAGTATTGTATAATTAAAAAACTTACTGCACTGATGACGCTCGTCTTCATCGGAGTTATCTAGACAATCGTTGTCTCCATCGCAGATGTAAATTCTAGGAATACAGTTGCCATTGTCGCATGTGAATAGATCGCCAAAGCATGTTCTACCTTCGGATTGGCAATAACCAGGAGGCTCGTCGCTTCCATCTAGACAGTCATCATCTCCGTCGCAATACCAAGTGGCTGGAATGCACCTGGACAATACGCATGCATTTAGAAAATACTTTCTGTTATAAAAAAATCGTAAGACATTACAACTTACAAAATAATTTTAAAGCCATATCCGGTTATTAAAATTATTCGTCAAATGTAGAATTTTACCTGTGATTGGGACATCGAAAGCTATTCTGAGGGCAGGTCCTTTGAGCACAATGAATCGGATTTTCGTCACTATTGTCACCACAATCGTTGTCGCCGTCGCAGAGCCAGTAGGGCTCTACACAAATGTTTGTTTTTTCACACTTGAGATGATTTAACGGGCATGTAGTGTTACGAGGACATCGCTCATGTGTCTCGTCCGAAGTAACGTTGTCTTTACAGTCATTAATACCGTTGCACACTTGAGATTGTGGGATGCAGCGGTGATTAGTGCAGGTGAATTCTCCTGGTGCACAAGGTGGGTAAACGCAACCTTCCTCATCGCTACCGTCCCGACAGTCATTTTCATGGTCGCATTTCCATGTTTTGAAGATACATCGACCGTTGTTACAACGAAATTCATTTGGGCTGCACGAATGATGAGCTAAAATGTATGAAGATCGTTTACATAGATTTTTTGATAAACATATTGTTAGAGATACTTGCTTCGAATTCATTTATTTTGATTAGATGATAGAAATAGCTTTATGACACTTACAGCAGTAATTGGTATTCTCATCGGACTCGTCACCGCAATCATCATCACCATCGCACGCCCACATCCGGGAGATACATCTGCCGTTTCTACAAGCAAACTTGTTCCCATCGCAAGTGACGTTCTTCGGTACACACATTCTATTTTCGTTCACCAATCTGCTGTTATCGTCGCATTTGCACTCCGGTAAGCCATTGTTGCCCGGATGGCAGGACTGATCACAGCCGCCGTTACTGATGTTGCAAGGATTAACACTACATATTTGTCTACCTCCGGAAAAGACGTGAAGATCTCGCGGAGAATCCTCCAATCGCTTCACCAGCTCGATTTTGTCGGCTCCAGTGTGCTTCTCCGCTCGGTAAACTCCACGAAGCTGAAGATCCGTCCAATAAATATGCTCCCTGTAGACAGTGATAGCAAAGGGATAGATGGTAGCGCTAACCAAAATTTCCCTGTGCTTCCCTTCGAGATCAGACCGCTCAATCTTCTCACGTACAGCATCGGTCCAATACAACATTCGATCCTCGTAATCGATTGCTAGGCCACTGGGTTGCGAAAGATCTTTATCGATAATAGTGCGTTTCAGCGACCCCGCCATAGTCGTTTTGAATATTTTCCCAGATGTTCCAAAACGACCCCAATCCGTGAAGTAAAGCGACCCGTTGCAGGGATCAACAACGATGGCGCGCGGACGATCTACGCGCGCAATCATCACCAAATTAGATCCGTCGATGTCCATTGCGTAGATGCTGTTATTGGACGAATCTGTCCAATATACCTTCTTTTGAGTCCAATCATATGAAATGCCTTCGGGATTAATTCCTTTACTGATTAGTGTGTGCAGATCGGAGGAGGACGGTCGATCCGACGGCGTCCACGCGATCTTCGCCCAAGGACGAATCTGAGTGAACAACAATTTCTTATCCTGATAATCAAAATCCACTCCGACTACATTTGTCAGGTTTCCAACAGGTGCAAAAGGCACATTAGTGTTGTGTGGATCTAAATTAATAGCACGGATTTCGGTTCGCGTGGCGAATACCAAATATTCTTGAACGTTTTCACAGTTACGACCATCGGAGGAAAGTTCACCCACTGCGCAATCGCAAGTGAACGATTTAGGATTGTCCTTCGGAAAAGCGAAGCACAGTTGAGAGCATCCGCCATTTGTTACCTGAAAAAATAAGAATTTTTTTATTTGTGCCTTTTTAATTTTGTTTAGAAATTGTTTTTGTGTTTAATTGTTTCTCTTTTAAAGTAGTTTTATACTTAAAAAAAATAATTTTGCCTTCTTAAATAAAAGATTTTGCATATCTCAATTCATATTTACCTGCGCGCAAGGATTTGTGATATCTGGTGGTTGACTGTTTTGATCAAAGATCGCAATGTCTCTAAGCTTTTGTAAATTTGTTCTAACAGGAATAGGAAGGCTGGTATTGCCCTTCAATTTGCTCGCCTTAAAAACGGTGGCCAAATTTCGATCAACCCAGTAGACGTCTCCGCCGAAAATGGCAACGCCCATTGGATTTGGTACATTTCTACGAATGATTTCTCGATTCCCACCAGTGTAAGACACTTTTTGGATGGTGTCCAATTTCGAATCCACCCAGTAAACGTCGTGTGTTGCGAGATCAATCGTTAGATCGCGAGGTGTGCTAATACCGGACGTCACAATAGGGGACCAATTGCTACCATCGAGGAAGGCTTTGCCTATTCGAGGATATTGTCCATAATCAATCCAGTACAAGTATCGTTTGATAGGATTTACAGCTAACTCCCGAGGAGCATCTGTCGTCATCTTCACAAGCACCTTTCGATTGGAACCATCTAACCAGCAGACTTCCACGTAGTTATCGTGAGGGAAAACATTAGCAAAGTATAAATTCCCAGCTATCCAATCCACTGCTAAACCACGAATTCCATTGGAACCAATTCCTTGTTTGATTACTTGTTGCAATTCCGTTCCATTGGGTCGTATTCTAAAATATAATAGAAATTAATAGAATATTATAGTTATTATATACAGGGTGTTTGATAAGTAACAATACAACTCTCGCATAGATGTAGAGCGGACTAAACTGATTGTGAGTCGAAAACTCCTCTACCATTTTACATTTTTCGCAATAGTTAACAAGATATTAAAGAACATTTTTTAGTCTTATTTTACCTAAAAATACCATTCCAAAAGCCTCGATTGAATTCCACCCAATATATCCAGTTTCCTGCGTAATGTACATCAACATGGAGGATATGATGGCCAGGTCCAGTAATGGGTATCATAGCTTCTTTGGAATCTTTAAGACTATAACCTCTAGCAACATCCAGCTGAGTTACCACTGCGAAAGTTTTGTAAGGTTCGCAGCTGGTTTCCGTAACCTTCTTATATTCCATTCCGCAAGCACAAACGCGTGTACCTCCAGACGCAGGTAGACAAAGCTGTTCACAACCTCCGTTGTTTATGAGACATGGATGAGATCCAGTTGCACGTTTTTTATAAATGGTTAGAGTACGAAGCTCAGAGTCGTTATCAATGATAATGGTTGGGTTATCGCCATTAGGCAAATCAACACGCTCGATCTTATCAAAAAGTGAGTCCAAATAGTATAGACGAGATTCATGGACAGCTATTGCCTTAGGCATTGCCATGTTACTTGCCGCAGTGAGAATGGTACGAACATTCTGACCGTCCGTTGACATAGCTTTGATAAAAACTGGATTTTTGCTTGAGAAGTATAACGTTTTGCTAGGTATATCGATAGTAATTGCTTCAGGGCGTTCTAGACTCTCTATAAGAACTAGCGGATTGCTGCCGTCCATATTAACCCGCCCAATCTTCTGAGGCACTCCGAAACCTCCATCGTCCACCCAAAACACTTGTCCGTCAATAGGATCAACGCACATCGCCTTTGGTTTAGATACTGACGTTCGATTTCCATCATTTGATAAAACGATTGTGCGGAATCGTGTCTTGCCATCTAATTTGATAGCTTCGATATTAGATGCAAATTTGTTGCCAATAAACATATTTCGTCCAAGCCAATCCAGTGCCATAGTGGATGGTGAACCGACAATACCAGTATCACCAGAAGGATTTGGAAACTCCGTCCGGTTGCCACCATTATAGGGAATGGCATAAATCGTACCGTTCTCGTTATCGCTATCTTTGCCTGATATAAATAATAAAATTAATAAATAATAAAATTTTCTTTTAAAACTTGAATTTAGATCTTAAGAAGACTTTACAAAATAAGAAGTATAAAAAAGTAGTTATTATACTTTGCAACCAGTAGATAGTACGATCTCTTCTGTCATATTCGATAAATCTTCCGCCTTCCACACCTACGATAGGCGTGATGTATCCAGTTTTGGTTTCTTTAGGCGTCAAAGAAATGTCAATGATCTGAGAACCTCGAAGAACCATTAAGTATGGTGTCTCCTCTTCCATGCAACGTCCATCAGATAGTATTTTAAATCCAACCTTTTCAAACATCAGAGAAAAAATAATTCAATCTAGATAAATAGAATTTCTGATAGTTTTTTACTTTGAAATCTGTGTAATTACTTACCTGGCATTTACAACTGTATCCTTTTGGATTAGGCGATAGAAGACATAAGTGTTCACAAGATGTGTTGGCGCAAGGATTTGCAGTGATCGGTTGTAGGACTGCATGATGCACATGTATGGAAAGAGGCTGCGAAATTAAATGCGACACCACCGTCTGATTAGAACCCTTAAATTTGTGTGCAGAGAGAACTCGATTGAGCTGTCGATCAGTCCAATACATAGTATCCTCGAAGAGAGTAAGTGAATGGGGATGTAGAAGGTAGTGCGAGCTGGCTAAAACCTGAAGTCTCTGGCTGCCATCATATTTACAAGTATCGATAAAGTCTAATTTGCTATCTGCGAAATATATTCTGCGATTTGCAATATCTAGCGCAAGACCGTTAGGCCAGTAAATCTTTGTACTGATAATAGTAGATCGATTGGTGCCATCCATTCCAATTCTTTCGATTCTAGGGTTTTCACCCCAATCGGTCCAGAAGAGCCATCTCGCACCTTCGCTGGGATCTAAACACATTCCACGTGGCTGTGTAATATTCTCTTTAACGAGAATCATCCTTCCAACTCCAGTCTCCTTAGCAACTTCGATTGTATTCAGCTTTGAGTCTAACCAGTACAGATTCTGGCCAATCCAGTCGTAGGCTAGGCCTTCTACCAAATCTAAACCAGTACTAATGATGTCTTGAGGATCACTACCACGATCTAACCGCGAGATTCGCTTCAACTTCATGTCCGACCAGAAAATAGTACCTGTGTGCATATTACTGGCAGTCGCCACGACGTTCTCTACATTGATAGGAACTCGTTCCAATGCTTGATCTTGAAGATCAGCTACCAGAATAGTATGTCTATTGGAAATAATCAAAAACGCAGCACTATGATTAAATGCCTTGCATGTATGCTTATCCGCATCTAATGTGTAACCATTCACACAGCTGCAATAGTAGCTACCCTTTGTGTTCTTGCAGAGCTGTGAACATCTTCCATCCGGGTTGCATTCGTTTATATCTTGACATGTCAAGCCGTCACTGTTGAGTTCCTCGCCAGCCGGACAGGTGCATTGCGCACCAAATGGAGTTTGAATACAACCATTGGTACATAATCCACCTTGATGGCGACATTCGGCGGTGTCACAACCGGGTCCTTCGTCCGCTCCATTGGGACAATCTAATTTACCGTCGCATACGCTGGTTGTATTCACGCAACGATTCTTTACGTTTGGACACTTCCATTGTTGGGAGTCGCACTTGAATGTAGGAGGACCGCATGCATGCAGTTCGATGTCTTCGTCGGATCCATCTCCACAATCATCTTTTCCATCACAGATATATGCCTTGAACACGCATCTCTCATTTCGGCATCTGAGGAATATATAAAATCGAATATCGATGAATTAAACAGAAATAAGATAAGTACATTTTTATCATTCACGATGCTTTTTGAAGGAAAATAAAATGTAATTAATGAATATAACAAACCTGAAAAATCCAGTCTGGCAGTCGACCTTTCCGCATGATTCTGGTTCATCGGATTTGTCAGGACAATCCGCAGTACCATCGCAGTACCAGCTTTTCGGTATGCAGATAGCTGAACTGACACACTGGAACTGTTTGTCAGTATTACACTGATCCGGTGCTAATGATGGGCAGCCTACTTCATCTGATCCATCATTGCAATCGCTAATGCCGTCACACTTATACGATGCTAAGACACACATCTTTTGATCTGCGCATGTGAATTGTGTGCTAAGACAAGTAACTGGTGGACAATCCATTTCATCTTGTCGGTCGAAACAATCACTATCACCATCGCATACCCAGGACTGCGGTATGCAGTGACCGGAGCGTGGACAGGTGAACTGAAAGTACGAACAAGTTTTTGCTGCGCAAAATTCACCCTCATCGGAGCTGTCACCACAGTCATTCTCGGAATCGCACTTCCAAGTTGCGGGGATACAGCGATTATTGGCACAAGCGAATTGATTTGCGCTACAAGTCACATTCGGACAACCCATCTCATCACTATAATCACCACAATCGTTCTCGGAATCGCAGTGGAATGTCATCGGTACGCAACGACCTGATTTGCATTGGAACTCGTTTGCGCTACACGTCGGTTTTGTGCAGTTTTGCATTTCGTCACTATTGTCGAGGCAATCATTTTCACCGTCGCATACCCAGGATTTTGGGACGCACCTAAAAGAAAATCGATTAAAAATTAAAATATTTGAATTTATAAATACACTTAGAAACAACACCTATCAATCCTTACATTTTACATTATGATCTCTTTTCTTCCTTTATGGAAAAATATTTTTGAACCCGCACAAAAATTATTGAAAATAACTGAAAAACCGTTCAAATCAAATAGTGTATACTATTTGTTTCAATAATTTTTTCATTAATCTAATAATTTTCATTCATCTAATATGTTTTTCTACAAGCACCCATTTGCATTTTATACAATAACATTGTTAGTAATCAATATTCAAATTGAAAACTAAATCAATAATAAATTAGAAACAAGAATACATGGCTAAGAATAAGATAAAGGAAAAAATAATGTATATTACCCTTATAGAGTCGTAATACATTATTTTCTTCTTTATTAAATTGTCGATATATTACAATAATTAAATATGTGTAAAACTTCTAAACTTTTTATTAAGAACTTTATTACAAGTGTTGAATGTGTTGGTTGTAAACAATCAGCTTCAATTATCAGTTAAAGAAGTCAAATTTTTACGCACCTCTGGTTTGCGCAAGTAAAATCCCAAGTATGTGGACACGCCTGCAAAGGTGGTTCCCCATCAGGATCTGCTGCACAACTCCTACTATTGCCTTGAAGACGTTCTCCATAAGGACATCCGCATACTTGAGTGAGCCTTGGTATTGATTGCGTACCAGGGAACATGATATCAGAACGCGAAGAATTATCCCGAATAGCAAAGCAAAGTTTTTCGCAATCACCGTTGTTAATAGTACAAGGATGATTATTTGTCGTTCTCTGAATGTCACGGCTAAAAACTTTCACGCCGTAAAGTCTATTAGTAGCAGGTTCACGGACCAAAATAGCTTCCTGCTCGCCAGTTTCTTTATGTAAACGAATAATAGCATCAAGACGCCAATCGGTGATATACATCCAATGCTCGTGAATAGCGATGGAAAACGGATGTCGTATCAGTCTGGAGTTCACCGTTCGTACATCCGTACCGTCCAAGTTTGAGTGCTGCACGTGATCCAGGAGAGCGTCACACCAATACAATCGATCTTCAGTAAAATCGATCGCCAATCCATTTGGCCAACCCAGAGTTAGATTTCTGAAGACAACCAGGTTGGAACCATCAGCGTGGGCCCTACTGATGTTAGCCGGACGGTCCCATTCGGAGAAGAAGATATAACCTTGGTTTGGATGAATTACGATCGCGCGAGGACGCTTCAGATTTTTCAGTAGTGTTCGCCGATAGGTGACATTCCGAGTGCTGAGCACATTTAGTGTGCCTGAGAAAGTAGCAAAATTTTCATCGTCTAAATAGAATCTGCTTTTTATTTATTTTTTTTAACTATAGGTTTCAATTGATCGTTAAAAAATTACTAAAATTCATACTACCAAATCAACCCCAAATTGAAGATTTACAGCTCAAATATTCAGTAAGATTTTGTCATCAACGAACCTTTACGTGAATCGATGTAGTACAGATTCTTTGCAGCCCAGTCAACTGCAAGCCCTTCCACCCCTTCATTTTGACTAGCCAGAACAATTTCGCGTCCAGTCGCGTTCTGGTGTACTCTGTATATAACATCCTGAAGAACATCACTATAATAGATGTACTGGTCGTGTGCGTCGTAGTCTAGTCCAACGAATCGTGCCCGCCTGGATACAACTGGTAGAATAGCATCGCTAAACCCTTCCATTACGGGATTGAGTACGCGACCTTTAATAAACCTCTGTTGCGAATACATGAGAAACTCCTGCACTAAATTGCAGTTCCTCATGTCACCTGCCAATCGCCATCCGATGTGGCAAGCGCAGCGATAGCCTAATCGATTGTTTTGATCACTGGAGGCCGTGACAATGCACATATGTTGACAACCACCATTATTATTGCCACAGGGATTGGAGACGCTAGGTTGCGAGAGTGGATGCAAGGCTTTTATAGCTTTAGCGTCGCGTATCTTAAAAAAGGATTTTAAACATTACAATATGAACCTGATATAGATCCTTTAATATAAATGTTCTCAAAACTGTTTAGGTAAATATATTAAACAACATAGTGTAACTATGTCAACAACATAGTCATTATTTAATTGAAGAATAAATATCAATTACTTAAACTGCAGTAGAAATCGACTAAATTGAATTTCGATTCTGTTCTATTACTAATCAAATATGAACATCTCGATTGTCGCACTCATACCTTGAATACACTTAATCATTATTTAATTGAAGAATAAATATCAATTACTTAAACTGCAGTAGAAATCGACTAAATTGACTTTCGTTTCTGTTCTATTACTAATCAAATATGAACATCTCGATTGTCGCACTCATACCTTGAATACACTTTGGATGGAATAATCTCCCTGAGTCTTGTCAACACTCATGACAGCCTGTTTGGTGCCGTCTGTCCAAAATATCCTGTTTTCAAAGAGAGTAAGTCTGATTGCAGATGGTACTTGAGAACCTCTGAGAATCATTACTCTGTTGTGTCCTCTATAGTCTGCCGTTTCGATGTAATCCAACAGGGAGTCACACCAGTATATCCTTTTAGCAATAATGTCAACGGCCACGCCGGAAACCTTATAAGCTGCTTCGGAGACAACAGGGAACGCATTAGTACCATCCATGTTGGTGCGTAGGACCTGCTTGCTATCAGCGATGAACATGAGGCCTTTCGTGGGATCTAGCGCGATGTCAGTCGGGTTGGTGAGATTGGAACCCACTACTATTCCATGGTAACGTCCATCCAGCTCGAATACGTCCACTTTTTGCACAATAGAATCCGCCACGTAGAGTTTCTCGCCAATCCAATCTATCGCGATGGACACTGGTCCCCAGGAACCCGCCATACTGATGTCCACTTTAGCTGGCGTGTCGCTACCGAGATTGAGAGATTCCGAGTGAACCTTCCGTGTCTTCATGTCGCTCCAAAAAAGCAGATTTCGCGAGTACAAATAGTCCACCCCGCTTGCACCGGTAGCGTTTGCAATTATTCTTCGATCCTCGCCGGTCGAGCTTAATCGCCATATTGCGCGATCTTGCGCGAGTAGAAGCTCCAAGGAAGAGGTATTCTGGGCGCGACACTTGTTGAGTCCATGAAGAATGTAACCGGGCGCGCAATAACACGAATACCAGCCGTCAGTATTTTCGCACAGTTGTTCACAGAAGCCCCACTCGGAGCACTCGTCTCGATCTGAGAAAACGAAAAAGTCTGATGGGCGATGCGGAAGAAAGGATGCAAAAGTGAGCGAGCTCCATAAGTAAATTCTTAAATTTTTCTAATTCAAGATTCTTCAATTATTGCATTATTAGATACTAAAAATCATTGCATATTGGATTAAGAGTTTTAATTTGTAAAAGTCAAATAACTCACCAACGCAAGTCCGTGAATCATTGGCAAGTATTCTTCCTTCGGGACAATAACAAGTTCCTCCAGTAGGAGAGGCTTGACATTTATGCTGGCAACCAAGTGAGCCACACATACTTGTCGCTGTACGATAAAGAAATTTTGTTCTTTTAAATGTTCTTTTAAATGCTAGTTTCTTAATGTGAACCTAAATCTATATTCTATATATTCTACATTTAATACAATTTAAAATATAGAATTCATAGTCCTCTCTCTCTGTATAAAAAAATTCCAGATATCTAATATATTTCAAACTCAAAACGTTAACGAGGTTTGTTGCTTGGAGTTTTAAATGCATTATCCTTTTGTTTCTCTGTATATTGATTAATTGTTACAATATTTTCCATAATTTCTATCAAGTTTATAACTACTAATGATGTTATTTGTGTGCGCTCACGAAATATTTTACATAATCTTCTGATATTGTTAAAAAGAACTGATGTAACAAATGTATGATTGCTTTGAACTTTTTGCGCTTAATATTGAAATTTAACCGAGGGGGTAACCACTCAAAAAATAGGTGTACACCTGGATTTCGGACTTCAAGACTTCATCGGACTTCACTGGAATTCATTGGACTTCGTCAGAATTCATGAATTCATCAAACTTTGTTTGACTTCATCGGACTTCATCAGAATTCATTGGATTTCACCGGAATTCATCGGATTTCACCGGAATTCGTCGGATTTCACCGGAATTCATCAAATTTCACTGGAATTTATCGGGCTTTATCGGGAATTCATGAATTCAGACTTCGCTGGATTTCATCGGACTTCACCGGAATTCATCGGACTTCACTGGAATTCATTGGACTTCGTCGGAATTCATGAATTCATCAGATTTCACTGGAATTCATCAGATTTCACCGGAATTCATCTGACTTCATCGGAATTCATCAGACTTCACCGGACTTCATCGGACTTCGAGGAATTCATTGGACTTCGTCGGATTCGAGGAATTCACCGGATTTCACCGGATTTCACCGGACTTCACCGGACTTTACCGGACTTCATCGGACTCTGACAGAGTGTACACCGGAATTCAAGAGTGGTTACCCCCTCGAATTTAACACATATAAAATTAAATTGCTCTTACAACATGCCGCTTCCTCGTCCGCCCCGTCCTCACAATCTTGTTTTTCATCACATAGCTGAGATCGATTGATGCATAATGGTTTTCCATCCGCTGCACCTTTCGGACACATAAACTTATTTCCTGGACAGAGTGTCATTGTGCAAGACTTCTCATCGGAACCATCCTGGCAATCTTTATATCCATCACATTGATATGCTATCGGAATGCAGAGCGCATTGGCGCATCGGAACTGATCACTGGTGCAAGGTGGGAAACCTGAGTATTATCAAGAAATCTCTCATTATTTTTACGAACTGTCACATTTTAATTTCGTATACAGCGTATCCCAAACTTTTTGACACATCGCTTGTAGGCAGATAGATTTAACTAAACTGAGTCGAAAGTCTTTTAACACATTTTGTAATTTTTACAATTTTTTTCTTAGTTACCCAAATGAGCAAAATGTTCAAAATCATATCTCCCGTTAAATCATCATTAAAATATTTTTTTTAAATAATTTTTTTGAAAAAGTTATGGAAGTAAATAATTATACAAATGATTAAATAATTGTATCGTTAAGAAAATCTTATTTATATTGTTTATAGGAGCTATCCTGCGATTCAAAGTTTACTTTTATAAATAGTACATTTTTTATTAAGTATGTACCCATTAAAAAACACTACCTTGATATAGTATAAATAGGAAAAATTAATAAGAGAAATAAAAAATTAAATATCCATTTGAAAGTAATGATGGCTGAAGGGATAAATCGTGAAGCGTTAAATAAATAGACGCATTGCAAAATCGCGAGCTTACTGCAGTGTTCCTCGTCGCTGTTGTCACCACAGTCGTCCCAGTGATTGCACCTCGCAGTTTGCTCGACGCAGCGTTGCGTAGTATTGCACCTGAATTGATCCAATCGACAGGCTGGCTTCATATTATTTTCGCATCTTTCCTCATCCCTACCATTCCGGCAATCCAGGTAACCATCGCACTTCTTTTCTTTAGGTATACAAAGTTCTGGTGTGGTTCCAACGCACCTGAAGTCATCTGGCTGGCATTTTCTGTATGCTGCAACATCAATGTCCTTTATCACTTCTTTGCTTTTACAAATCTTTTTTTTTATAAATTATACTATAATATAAATAATAAAAATAAATATTCGACGTTAGAATAAATATCATCTTGTAATCTCTTTCAGAATATTTCTTATTAAATCGTGATTTGGATTTTCCTACCACTACATTTGATTTAACTATATTTGATTTGTAAAGGATTGTCTTTCGTCTAAATTAAGCAATACCAAATTGTATGTATGACTGATCCACGTTTTCATTTCTGATTCTAGATATTTTATACAGATTTCCAATTTGCTTGGATTATACTTAATGCGAGAGAAACACATTTATCTGATGTGTTCTGACTACCAGGTTGGAGTTTGGGAAAAAAATTCCTTAAAATTTTAAACATCGACATTGTTCACTAAAGATGGCCCGGGGAGAGGGGGGGGGGAGCCGAAACGTATGAATTAAAATAAATATATTTTTAAGAGTAATCCATTATTTGTTAAATAGTACCGACACTGCGCTGTGAGCAATTACTTCATTTGCTCATTTAATTGTTCTTTTTATTTTTATTAAATTCAAAAGAAATTATTTTATATCATTATAAGATTTGCAAAAGCTGAAGCGCTTAAACGTGTATATTGTACATTCTTTGCAATCCGTCTGACTTGTGAAACATTTCTAGTGGCGCACTTATGAATGGAGAACGTGACAAATGGAGTAGCATACATATTCCTTTTAAATTAACGTCAAAAGGTGATCTGAAATTGATCACGCTTCCCGGTCCAAATGGTTTTGTGTGATAACTCGAATACATTAGCTGCACGTAATGAACAATCATATCTTGATAAGTACTTAGTACGACACGTTCGCGTCGTTGATAAACATGCAGAATGAGCCTGATATGGCAATCTGAAACGTGATTTTTCTCGTTTAGTTCGTGGGATATTAAGGGGAATAGCAGAGGAGAAACGAAATGTGGAATCATGTAGATTTTCTTTCAATTAAATTTAATTGCGAAATGCTTTAATAAAATATTATTTTTTATCTTTTTAAGAAATGAAATTTTTCTGAAAAGTTCTTTTAAAAATTCGTGTTCTTTCACTAAAGAAGGTGAAAAATGTTAATAATAAAATTATAATAATCATTACATGTTATATAATAATTCTGAATAAAGATAAATCTTACGAGAAAATTTTTAATTCTAAAAAATATTCTAATATCAATATTGGTAATAAAGAGATTGAAAAATATTCTCCAAAAGATTAAATAATGTATTACGATTCAAAAAGGCAGTGATTATAAATAACACAAAACTTTCGACGGTAGAAAGGTCAGCAAAAGATCAGCAATGTCAGCATCAAAAGAAAGGAAAACGTTATCGGCGCCTAACGGCAATAAAATGTTTACAAATCTCAATCTTCATTTTTACGACTTGAGTGAACATAATATTGCTGATTTAACAATGTGCAGTGCGTGTTATCGTGACAACGCGATAATTTAGTGAATCCTAGCGTAAAGAATCCGCCTAATCGCTGCGCAGCTGCTACTTAGCCATATTCTTATACCAGCGGCCTTGTCACTGACGAGATAATGTCTTTTTGTATAATATATCTGCGATAATTAATATTCCATTTAAATGGCACAGCTGATGTTCTTAAAATCGTTTATTAACAATTGCTCTTTTTTCATTATTTATGAAAGAAGAAAGAAGTGAAATATAAATATAAAATTGTTAATTGCACGTGAAATACTGCAGCAAATCTTCTGTTTTCGTACATAGATTTATTTTTAATTGATACAGACTGATAACGACTGATAAAGTCAATAAAGAATTTTCGAGTAATTTTGATAAAAAATTTATCGATGTAAATTACGCAGTCACGCGGCCTTTTTTATATTTTTATGCCCTTAGCGTCACGATACTGCGCGCTGCCACGTGCCGCGTCATTTGATTTCAGAATTTCTGTATAACTTTCCCCTACAGCGCAAAATGTTGCAGCAATATTTTAATAATATACAATATTAGAAAAATTGCAACAATGTTACTGCAATATTAAAGTTTTAATATTTTATTGGAAATATTGCAACAATATTATGAAATATTGTAATTTTAGTATTTTGTAGAAAATATTGCAATATTATAATTCAACAGATAAATTCGCGACCCCGTCACGAGAGAGCTACTTCTCGTAAGAAGAAAAAGCCCAAAAATCCTGTAAGGCATATGCATATTAAGCTGAGGTCTCTTGGAAATTCCCAAGCTCTTTTAGGTACGCTTTCTGAATCCTTAAAAGTTTCTTGATTATAACTTTGTTTTGGAATGTGATGCTAAGCAATAATATTTTAGCAATTAATAAAATTCGATTTATTATTGAAATGTTACATAACGTTGCAGTAATATATCTGCAATATTTCTCTAAATAGATATTGCAGCGATATCATAGAATATTGCAGCAGTATTTTATTTTAGCGAGCATAGGAATATTACTACAATATTGCGGCAATAATTCATGAAATATCGCATTCTTTAAAAGTGATACTGCTGCAATGTTGCTATAATATTTTGTACTGTATTTATAACTTTTACAAAATTTTTCAAATTTTTTATACAAATTTGAGTACTTTTCAGAAGTGCTGAGAAAATTTACATTTTTTCTAGAATTTTTATATACAGCGAATTTTAAATTATTCTAAGATTTCTCATTCTGTAATTTCCGAAGGAAACTTATAACATCTGAAGAATTTTAAAGTATTTATAAGAAATTTAGAAGAAATAAGCACAATAGAAAAGCTATCAGCGTGTGGCAAAGATGGATATTTAAGCAATAAGAAGGAGACTGGGCCTCGGTTCGAATCCTGAAGCGCTCTGATATTGTTCTTGTGTTGTCACTTATTTCTTCTATGTTTAAAAAAAATCTTCATAAACTTAAAACATGATAAATTTTTAAAAATATTATAAGAACTTTTTTTCAACAGAGATATAAAAAGTATTAATTTAATTCGTGCCTTCAAAAGAAAACGTTTTTGTGCATATTGGTATACATGTACATTACGTTACGTGAGAATATAAATTTTCTGATGTCATATACGATATGAAAGAAGCAAACAGGAAAGGTTGACGTTGACAAAAATGATTGCAATTTGTACTCACTACAGCCATCTTCATCAGTGCCGTCGACGCAATCGACAGTCATATCACATCGTTGATGCGGTGGTATACAATACGTTTTGTTGAAACTATACTGGCCACATGTGATCTGGCCTATCTCGCAATCGGGCGGCGCTAAAACCCAATTCAAAAATTAATAAATTAAAAAATTGCACTATAAATTAAATTATATATAAATAAATTTAATTTAATAAATTAACATACAATAACTAAATAATGCTTGTATCAGTCGAAGCTGTATCTCGAGTGCTTCAAATAATTTCATATGAATTTATATACCACATTTATAGTCTCTCAAATTGCGCACCGAATTAGTTCTTCAGACTTATAGCGTTTTTCACTGGCAGAGCTGATGCGCACTCAGTGCACTTTAAAGCCGTTGTACACAAATCGACATAGAGATGTACGTTTAATAAAAATATAGAAACGAATTAAACCGCAAAATTCTCAATACATTTTATTGTGGTATTTGATAAAATATACATTGGATATTTTATTAATTAAGATAACTCACTTTTACATTCAGATTAGGTTAGTGTACAACAATTTTAATGTGCACTGAGTGTGCACTAGTTCTATCAGTGAAAAACACTATTAGAAACGCAATCGACCTACTATAGTAATATCACAAATTAAATTGACAAGCAATTTAATAATTTGATGTTCAATTGACATTATTCTTTATAGATTTTCAGTATACATTAAGGTTTTCTTAATTATTTCTTAGTCATTATGTGTTCTGAAAATATAAAATTTAACGAATCTCTGCTTCCCGAGAAGACTCTAATCGGTTCATAAAATCTTTAACGTTTTGGTACTATGGCTACGTTTACATTTAGGCCACGGCCTATACAATAGATGTCCTTGTTTATCCTGTAGATTAAACAAAGACACTTACTGTATAGGTCGCGGACTAAGCGCACGGTGTAAACGTAGCCTATGACCTTCATATGTGAAGTCGGAAATCCAACCAGGGAATAAAAAGGGTCTCTTTCACCTCGGTTAAGTTAACTGACGGTTACATGGGCCTCATTTAGGCCCAGTTTCATGGTTAATTTTTAACCGAGATTTAACTTAAAATAAATAAACCGTGTCGGTTAACTTAACTGAGGTTGGCGAAAGAGACCCTAAGAAGAAGAAGTCATTGTGTGTTCACATTATACAATTCGTTTATTATTGTTAATAAATTAAATTAAATTATAAAATTTAACGTTGATATAAAAAAAGTTGAAACAGAATATCTCGAGCTGTCTCGTGATCAACTCGCTTTGGCCAAAAAACAACTGATTCATCATTAATAATAATCTTGGTAAATTTTCGAATACCAAGATACAAGAAAGACAACCAGATAATCTAGATAATCGGTGCAAAACTAAAATTGTACAAGGAGCGAGCGTGATTTAACCTCTATTCTTCTATTATCAAAAGTTCAGAATATTTAGCGGACCGCAGACAAAATAAAAAACTATTTTTTTTACAACTTTTATTAGCATTCTTTCGTTCAGAAACCAATACAGAGAGAAATTCGGAGAGATGCTGCGCTTAATTCCTGAAGACATTCCGTGAAAATGGACTACACAATGTGCATCTCATGCGAAGAATCGTTAGTACAACGTAACATACCGATATGGTGCAATAATTGTGCGCGAGTATATAATCGGCCGGTCGATTCGTCGGACGATCGAGGGAAGCACCCTCGATCGTTTAATATACCGGATGGTACGACAATCATGTTGCAGCGCCAGGCTATCGCTTTAATGCTATTTTTTCCAAACAACACATATATGATCGACGACTTTTTTTAGATTCCTCATTCTATTAATAGAACTTGGTGACATTGTGAATGTCACCTTTATGAATTAACAGCTTCGTTCACTTCCGTTTTCAAGTCAATTTGGAGATGTTAGAGTACAGACTCAAAAAGGAGATTTATCGTAATACTTGTAATAGATGCCTACAAACAAGTACAAGTAATTGATGGCCGAGACGGAAGGGGATGGATATTGAGGAGAAAGTTGTCGAGCGTAGAATTGGGACTGATATTCCACGCAAAGCGAGAATAATCGTGCCAATGGATCCGTTTCATCGAATGACGCGCGATACTTGTGCATACTGTCCTCGAAAGAGGGTCACAGCCTTGCTTCCGGTTTTACATTGTCACCCGCATAATAAATGGCCGTCACTTCACGGTGGCCTAGGCAAACGGCGAACCCTGAAGAGGAGCAAGGGACACGCGCTCGTGGAGAATAAAAAGCAATTTGGATCCGAATCTGGTTTCTTTCAGAAAGAAAATACTCGCAATTAGGAAAAACATTTGAATAAACATTTCACAATTAGGAAACACCTTTATATACATTATTACAATATAATGGTGATAACTGTACAAGTTTTAATATGTAGAATTAATGTACACAGTTGAAAATTAACGTGCATAGTTAAACAAACTATATATATAATTGAATAAACTATTTTATCATTTCTTATATTTGCAATAAAATAGTTTATTTAACTACGTACATTATTTATTATATTAATTTTATACATAAAAAATTTGTATAATTGTTTTTTTATAATTGCCATTATTTTTTTCTGAGTCTAAACGACATTGTTTTATAAAAGTAACGGTTAGAGACAAATTTCTCTCTTTTACTCTTAATAAAAATTTTGCGCATACGTGTAAATTTGCTCTATTCAAAAAATTGTAAAACGTTATTAGAAAGAAATTTGGTATTACGATTACGTAGCGTATTTTGACGAAAAGGACTTCAGAATTGAGTATTATTTTTCTTAGAAGCATTTTTGTTAGAAGATTATAAGGATTACAAAGAAGATAACTTTATCTTTATGAAGGTTGCATTATTATGTTATCCTTGAACGTTTTAAAAATCCCCTTTAAATGTCCTCAGACATTATCGCAGCTTCGCTAATCTGATAGGATTTTTTCCTTCCGCCTTTAAATCTCGAAAAAACATTGATTATCCCTACTTGCATGAAAAAATAACGCAAAGCTCAAATTGTATTACACTTCCTGTAAATCTAACGATAAGAAACAATCACAAAAGCGGTCACGTAAGCTGCATGGAAAAAATATTAGACAAAGAGACTAAGCACTTCCGAGAGGAAGCCTCGGATTTTCGTCGAACGCTCTTCCGGCACGAGATTTGTTATAAGCTGTACATAATTCGTGACAATCCATTCCGTTCGTAAACAGGAAGAGCGTCAAAAATTGACCGTCCCAAGGCCGCAGTCATAATCGTTCCGAGCAAATCTGAATCGCGTAGAATTTGTCGAAAAATTTGAGCACAATCCTAGAAAATTCGACATAAAACTTTCAATGCATATCCTCTTATTTTATATCTGAAATTATGTCAATTTAAAAATTAAGACCCATTTCCTGAATTTTTTAAAAATATTCAATATCAATTAATTTCCAATAACACTGTTAGGACTATAGTGATTATGATCAAAATTAATTTTTTACATCTTGGAGTCTTCGCAGCCGTAAATCCTGCTGGCCTTTACCTACCGGCCAAGAGTACTGAATGAAGGAGATGGATTCTGAAAGTTCTTTCACCGCGAGCTGTAATGAGGACAGCGGGCGATCGCGGATTATACATGCATCCCTCTTTATTATTTCTTAATGAAGCATAAGTCATTAATTATTCATTAGCATGAACGTGAAGCATATTTTTCCGATTAAATTTTACATTCAAAGGTATGCTCCAATTTCACAGAAATTCTGATTGTTTTATGAGATATATTTATTATAATCACGTGCGAAAATATATGGATATATAATACGACAATAAAACTAAATAACAATAATAAAAAAATAAAAAAATCTTTTATTCATCACAGAAATCTCAATCGAGCTTTCTTTCTGTAGCTTTATCTTTTTCTTTTATTTTATTTTTTTTAACTTAATTTTTTTTGATACTACATCCTCAGAAAAAGACGTAATGGTAACAATTAATCGTATTTGTATTATAAAAATAATAAGACGTGCATTTTTATTATATAATATTAAAAAATTGTTCCACAGGCTATAATTATTGCTAGAAGACACAACGTGTAAACTGTGTTAAGTATTTTTAGAGTTATACAGATAAAAAGGAACATTCCGATACTTACGACATGATTGCATTTCATCGCTGTTGTCGTCGCAGTCCCCACGATAATCGCATACCAGAATCGACTGTATACATTTGCCGTCGTTGCACCTGAACATGTTATTCCCGCAGCCATCGCCTGTAACAGAAAGCATGGAGCATGAAGGGATCGGCCGGGAAGCGATACTGCTGCCGTGATAGGTGAAAGGTTCAATGCCTGCCGCCGGAGAACTGCCGTTTCTAGGTGTAACCGTTGCAGAAGATAGGATTCTTCTAAGTCTTTTTTTTTTCGAACGAATCCTCATCCGATGAACTTTCGCGCAGCGATTATTTCGCCACCTCGCCCGCGGTATGACCGAGATATCTAGGGGAAGCACAATTGAACGCGATTGTGCAGCAAGAAACCAACACCTTTCCAGGCTTAGAATTTAAGATTTATATTGCAAAATGTTGTGTGTTGAATGTACGTTACGCGTAGAATTAAATATCAGAGAAATCGTTTTAATTTGTCTTTAATGTTCTTCTGAAATTTATCTGAAAAACTATAATATTTCCAGTCGATTCCTTCGAATAACAACGTTTAATTTTTTAAAAATTTAGAATACACAAGAATGCATAAAGAACTAAGAGTCAGCGCAGTACTTTATGCGCAAGTATGTATAATAATAAAAAATTTAATAATCCATATCCGATGACAAATATTTTAATATATATCTTCGTACGCGTTTCAACTCACTTCCAGTTCTCGGCTTCAATTCAATCAAAAACAAATTACATATTGTCGTTTACTTTTTTACACTTTGAAAGGGAAGTGACGAGCAATTAGCGGAAGTGGATGTTAATCCTTTGCAAACGGATGACGAACACTGCTCAATATCATATAGTTTTCGATTCTAGACAGGGTCGAGCCCTGCTCGACATCATAATGTAGGAATATTTTTTTATAAGAATCTCGTCCTGGCTGATTACCAAAGTTAAAAACATCAGCAAAGGATTAAATCGTAAAAAGTTGGTATATCAGCTTTTGATCCTCTAGAGATTAATAGTAATTCTTATTATAAAACAAAAGATTTATCTCTCTTTTGCCCTGTTTAAAAGGAATAAAGAACGGAAATACCCGAAAGTATCATTACTTATGACAATATCCTCATGGGTGGAAATTAAGACCATGGCGAGCTGTCTTTATTATGATCGCGGTAATCTCTACTACTCTTCATTATGACATTTATAACTACTGAGAATGTATATACATATATATTCTATATATGATAAAGTATGCTGCTCCTGATGAAGTAAACTCTGATGAATGTTCACGAAACGTTGACATTCTAAGAATGGATTTAAATACGGAGATAACCCTCGAAACGCATTATTTTTGTAAAGAAGAAATATGTTTTAGATGCACTTATTTGTAATTATTTTATGTTAATTTGTAAGAAATAACATAATTAAACAATATCTTTATTTTAGACCGTATTTGTGGGAAACACAATTCATACTAGAAATTTAAAATATCTATTACGGTCGAAGCTGGATCTTCGTTGCTTAAATAATTCAATCTTGAATTACTAATATTTATATACTATATATGTACTTGCATATATACTATATTATAGTCTTTTTCAAACTGCACGCCAAATTATTTTTCCGGACTAAATAAACGCAATTAAAAACTACTCTAGTAATCGCGAATTAAATTGACAAGCAATTTAATAATTTGATGCTACCATCAAGCATCATATATTATAAAATTGTTAATATGTTAAAACTGTTAATAAATTTATTGCGAAAAATATTACCTCGGCCGGAACTTGAACCCGGATCTCTTGTATTCCGTACGAGCGTCCTGAGCCATTAAATCATCGTATTTGAGTAAAAAATTATTCAAGACCAATATTTGGCAATTTTTAGTAATTAATATCTTGTTAATTATTGCGAAAATTGCAAAATGGTAGAGAAGTCGACTCAGTTTAGTTCGCTCTATCTATACAAAAGCGATTGGCAAAAATTTTCGGGACACCCTGTATACAAAAAATTTTCACTTTTCACGTTTCCGTTCTAGGGATAAAGTTACTTGATTGCTATCCAGGGCCTCTATTCTTGAAAATAAACGTACACAAAAACTGGAAAAGTATTATAGTATACGTTACATACATGAAACATTTCTTTTCAAGAATAGTAAAGACTCAGATCTGAATTTTGTTTAGAGGTGAGATGTATATTATTTTGTTATTTTTAAAGGTTTGGAGGATCGCTAAATATAAAAATAAGGTTAAAACATAAAAATTCAAAATGGCGGATTCAAGAAATAATAAAGGGGAAGGAAGCGAGAGAGGAGAGGAGAGAGAGAGAGAGAGAGAGAGAGAGAGAGAGAGAGAGAGAGAGAGAGAGAGAGAATTATACTGTGGAAGTCACATCATAATTTTTAGAAAAATAACATTAAATAGATTAAAAAATGATAAATCCTCAAAATCGTTGTTTTTCTCAAAATTATGACATGATAGTCAAATTTTGACAACAGATTCTTGTTCAGCAGGCAAAAATACGACTGAAATTACCATTCACACTCATGTTATAAAAAAAGGTTAAATTTTGTTGGACAGTGATAAAGTCCGAAAACTTTCTATGTAAATAATTTTTTAAATCTTATGATTACAATTATTACAATATCTTTCAGTTAAAGTTTAGACAATTTCCTTTAAAACTAGCCGTGGTTGAATTGAATAGCTTAATAATCATCAAAGATTTTATGAAGATTCTAAATCATATAGGTATGACTCATTAGACTTGAAAGGTTAACTATGAATATTTTATTAGCCGTAGCCGACACTAAAAAATCCTTTTAAGAATTGGAAGTCCTAATAATATACATTTAATTTTGCAATAAAACTTAACTTCAGTACGTCATATAACGTAGTTATAATTTGGCAAAATTCGTAAAAATCGCCCTTTCTTGCAAATTTCTCATGCGATGGAGCAATTTAGAAAACGCATTTGTGTATTCAGCATCCAAAAAACTATAAAAAATGCCGACTAGTCTTACTCAATCCGATCAAAAAAAATTATTTTTTATCAAACAGTGTAATTATAAATGAATACACAGATAAGTAAATTTTTTTAATATTGCAGTTAAGTGCCGATAAGAATCATGGTGGAGATCTCTATAAGGAGACGAATTTTTCTTGTTTCAAATTATGGCTCAAATTAATATTAAGAAAATCGCAATATAATTCGTAACTATAGGAGAATATTTACAAAATATTTTTAAATATTTATAAGACTCTTATTTTAAATATTTTGTAAATATTTTTATGGTTTTAGATTGCACAGATCGTAAATATTTATTATAAATATTATGAAATATTTATTGTAAATGTTGTAGTAAATATTATGAAAATACTTGATAAGACATTATAATTCAAGTTAAAAATACTAGAAATATTTATTTATATTTATCGTAAATATTTTCTAAAATATCTAGTCTATATTTTAATGATATTTCAAATATAAAGTACAAATATTTTATATAAAATATGTATAAAATATTTACACAACATTTCAAAAAATGAATACTCTAATAGAAATTTATCATAAATATTCTGCGCTGTCTTTTATTTATTAATTTCAAAATCCAGTTCTTTAAGACGAGGCTTCGCATCTTTGTAAAACATAAGCCAAAAAGATCTCATAGCAAAATATTATATTGTTTCTATGATACAAAATACAGTTCCTCGTGATTATACATATCTGCACTGTAAGTAAGGAGTAGATCATTTTATTTATAACATTTTTAAGAGCAAAATTGCAAAATTCGACTCTTCAATAGACTTCATAGCTTCATAAAACATAAGCAAAAACAAGTTTTGACAAAATATATATTTCTTCTACAAGACAATGTATGTATACTGCACCGCAAATGAGATGTAAATGAATCTTTTCGTCACTTTTACTGGATCATAAAAATAATTAATTAAAGTGATTTAAAGTAATGCATTATGTTTTCTTATAAATATAATGTCCAAATAATTTTGTAAAGCAGAAACGAATAATTTATACTTATTTGTATCTAAACAGGTAAAACAATAATTCTTTGGAAAGCATTTAAAGTTTGCTATGCAGCATCCGCGAGGTAAGATAAGAAAAGGTGCGATAAGTCATCTCTCGTCTCAGTTATTGTTTGCGGGTGACTTTTGTTCATCAACCGATGGGACAAATTTGCATAACGACGCAGAATTTTTCACGAGTGTCGTTATGTAAATGCGGATCTATTGATATTCGAATACAGTCGTCATCGCGCAACTGCGATGGTGATAATGCGTCGTTTGAATTATTAGCAACAATGACAATAATAATAAACCCGTGACCTCCATCGAAATGTCAATCGTTTGAAGAGAAACCCGGATTTATGATAATTTTTATAATAATTTTCTTGAGAATACAGTTCGTCTGTGACATGACGCATTACCATCTCCTGGGCGATAACAGAAATATAAGATCATTGTGAGAGGAAAAATAAGTTTATTTTTAATATTAAACACTTTACAGTTTAATATTAAAATATTATGAAGCTGAATCAAGTTATATTATAATGATGGTGTTTAGCAATAATAATAATAAAATAATAACTAAATAAGTATGCTGGACGATTTGCTCATGGCCTCACGAATATTCTGGCAATCGCTTACTTTTGATAATGAGAATATGAAGATACTGATTGCGATTTTTATTCTGTATTTATTAATGTTAATTTGTTGAAGATGACTCAAATAGGAGTCGGAACGTACGATGTTATACGAAGTTATATGATATTATTGATGTAATAAATTCTCGAAATTTTAACAACTAGAGGTTGACTCCTACGGCGTTATTTACGAATTCTAGGTGTTTAGCAAGATGTTCGGAATGAAGTGCTGTGATAAATAAATAATAAAACGTACGATGTTATACGAAGTTATATGATATTATTGATTTAATAAATTCTCGAAATTTTAACAACTAGAGGTTGACTCCTACGGCCTTATTTACGAATTCTAGGTGTTTAGCAAGATGTTCGGAATGAAGTGCTGTGATAAATAAATAATTATAATGGATAAGAATATCGATAATATTTTCCAATATTCATGAAAACTGGACTCCAAA